AAACATCGAGAAAAGATAAACGTAAAAAATATGCCTGTCATTTTGACCATTGCAATATTACAAATGTTAAACTCTTTTTAAATTCACAATATTATCCTTATGGAAATTTAAATCTAAACTTTGATCAAAATCAGTACTCTCTACTTTATGAAATGTACGCTAATTTTCAATCATCCTATTATGGTAAAGATTCAAAACCTATTTTAACAAAGGATATTTTTAAAAGTCTATTTCCTCTAATTGTTATTGATTGTTCAAAACAAAATGAGTTCTTAAAACAAACATCAGTTGATGTGAGGTTAGAATTTGAAGCAGGAATTAACATGCAAGCCGAGACCACCGCCTATTGCCTAATTATCCATGACCGCGTCATACAATATAAGCCAATCAGCGGCGTTGTAAAGAAACTATTGTAAAGGAGTGGGGATAATGTGGTAGTGGTGGGGGTGATTACTATAAAAGCAGCTGCTCTCGGCTAGAAATTCATTTCTGCTTCAAAATGGAGTTTATTGTAGACGTTCAAGGTTTTAAAAGAGCCAACAACGAGTTTGTCTTTAAAGAGTTGGCAATACTTCCTCTTCAACCAGATGCACAGCCTCTCGTCTACCTTTTTGAACCTCCTTGTCCTTGGAATTCACTGCGAGGACGCTACAAAAGTGAAAATATTTGGCTAACACATAATTACCATGGGATTGATTGGACTGCAGGAGACGTACCATACGATGAACTTCAATCTATTCTACAAGGAATCCTGCGAGGTGCTAGTGCCATCTACGTCAAAGGATTAGAAAAGAAAAATTGGCTAGAGAAATACTTACTAAATGTACAAAATTTAGAAGATTTTAATTGTCCATCGTTGAAAAAACTGGAAACTAAATTATTGTTAACGACTTGTAAACATCATACTCTTTATATCGAAAATTGTGCCGCAAAAAATGTTAAACTTCTTCAAGAATGGTTTTTGGAACCTCCAAACCAATATATAAGTGCTATTTCTAATGGAATTGATGAAACTGACTCTACAATTAATACTACTACTTTAAAATCTTTCTACGAAAATTGTTAATCTTTTTTGTAAATATAGATTTAAGTTTTCAAAAATAAATATTAATTTAAAACAATGTTTCTTATTTAAAAAAATAACCTATCCTTTAAATATTTTTATAATTCTTGAAAATAAAACTAATTCTAATTCTGAAAAATAACTTATACTAAGAGGAGAAGGAAATTAAATTTAAAACCAATTTATAGGTAAAACTTTGTGTGTTTATTTTGAAAATTTTTTCCAATATATACATTTCTTTACAATTTATTATAATAATTTAAATTCAACAACATTATACGATCCTCCAAGATACTTCATTTGAAGTTTTTTCGATATCGCAGCTTCTTTCATCATTTTCAAGGTGGTTGGTTCATCCTCGAAGAGCTTGATGAATCTCGTTGGTAAGTATGTGACGAAATCAGCATCAATCTCAACTATGATCCTAGGTCCATATTTGGTCTGGACCTTCTTCATTTTCATGACATAGTAAAGTCCATCTTTCATCAATTCCGCTAACGGTTTTGTCGGTAGGTATCCTTCAAAACGCCCAACAGAGTTGACTTTTTCTAGATCCATTTTTTAAAAACTGGTAAGAAACCTTAAACAAAGAAGAGAAAACAAAGAACTGAAATTAAAATAAACCTGTAATGATAAAAGAATAATTTAAAAATTAATATAAAGCTGAAAAAGACTTAAAAAATATATCTGAAAAAACATAGAAAATATATATCTAGAAAAAGAAACTTAGAAAATATATCTGAAAAAAGATTTTGAAAATATGTCTGAAAAATAAACTTAGAAAATACAGCTGAAAAAAGGAACTTAGAAAATAAAGCTGAAAAAAGTCTTTGAAAATAGATAATTTATTAAACTTACTGCTAATTCAAAACCTGAAATAATAATGACTTGATGGCTTTAAAACTCGCCTTATATTGCTGCAATCCCCACTCTTTCTCTAACCCCACTACACTTTCAAATGCGCACGCAAATTATCCCCACTATTCACTGCGCACGCAGAAATACCCCCACCTCTATATGCTAAAAGTAAGGGAAATAATAAATGCGTAAATTTCAAAAATATGTACTTTTATTTTAAAAATTAAACTAGTTTTGAGGCTCATCTTCGAAAAGCTCCAACATCTAAAAATTAAAGATTTTATTAAAGTTAATTTAAATTAAATTGATATTTTTAAAAGTTAATTTAAAATAAAAATTATTAACTAACTTCCTCAGGATCGAGGTCAATTATTAAAACGTCATCATCATCATCGCCGATATAATCATCATCGTCGATTAAGATGATTGTTTCCCCCTGGCTGTCATAGCCATCATCATTATCATCCTCATCATCCTCATCCTCTTCATCTTCATAATTGTTGTCGGCGTATTCATCAAAAATATGAATGACTAAATCATCATCAACAACTTCTTCCATACTTTGGTTCATATCGATTGGATCCATTTTGTTATAATTTTCTAAAATGTTATTGATTTAATTATTTAATTATGTAGATGAAATAAAAGCAAAGAGAAAAGAATAAAGAAGATAAATAAAAAGAATAGAAAGAATATGAATTAAGTAGAAGAAGACAATATATAGAAACTAGAAAAGAGAAATAAAAACTAGAAAAATAAAAGAAAAGAGAAAAGAATAAAGAATATAAATAAAGAGAATAGAAAGATTATGGAAACTAGAAAAGAGAAATAAAAACTAGAAAAAATATAAAGAAAAAATCAGAAAAGAGTGAAATAGCTGAAAAATTAAATTAAAGGAATTAACTAAAAAACAAGGGAAGTGAAAATTGAAATTAAAAGAAGAAGTTACTGGAAAAAAGAGAAATAACTACAAAAGAAACAAAAAAAAACACATAAGGAAAAAATCGAATTGAAAGAAAGAAATATTTGGAACAGAAAAATAAAGGCAAAAAATAAGAAAAGTAAAACTGAGATAAAAGAGTGAAATAGCTGAAAAGTCAAATTAAAGAAGTAACAAAAAATATGAAAATTAAAACTAAATAAATTACTAGAAAAAAGAGAAATTTAAATTAATTCCTAAAAAGAGAAATTAAAACTAAACTAAATGAGAAATTTAAAATAATTCCTAAAAAGAGAAATTAAAACTAAAATAAATGAGAAATAAAAGACAAAAAATTAAATTAATAGAAATAACCACAGAAAAGAAAAATAATTCCTGAAATAACTATGCAGAGAAATGAAATAAAGAGAAATAAAAACTAGAAAAAAATAAAATGAAATAATTGCTAAAAATCTAAAACAGAGAATAACTAAGAAAGTGATGAGCTGGAGCAGAGAAATAGAGAAAATATCTGTAAGAGTGAAAGAAAGAGAGAGAAAGCCTGAAAAAGACATGGAAGAGATAGTCCTGGCGGAAAAAAAGACCTAGAGAGGAGAAAACCTGAAAGAGAAACCTACGACGTTGCAAGCTGAAAGAAGAATGACTTTGGTGGCTGGCGCACCGCACTCATTCACTGTGGCGATCCCCACCACAGCGCTCCCCACTATGCATCGCTACAGTAGTGAAAGCAGCATCTCCATGCGGCCATCTCCGTAACAAGTCTTGATTCGCGCGAACTTTAAATAGTTAATTAAACCATATTAATAGGTTAAAATGAATTTATATAAATAGTAATTAGTTCTGTAATATTATGTAAACATAGTTGAAATATTTATTTTAATAAAATAAAATTTTATGTTTAAATAATTAGAACAATTTATTCCATTAAAATCAAGATGCATAATTATAATAAAATCGATTTTACAGATTGAAATTGTAATCAATAAACGTAAATTCAATAGTGTTAGGTAATAAATACGTTTACATTAAGTTTAATCAACTTTATTACTGAAAAAATATATATTTGAAAATTTAATTATCAGATAATTTTTAAGGATTTTAATTTAAAAGTTTTTTAAATTTGTATGTATACAAGAAAATCGTTTTCAAGAATTAAAATTTTAGAAATTTTTAGTGTAACAACCACATTCTGAAATCAATGAATTATATATATTTTGAAATTTTAAATAAAAAAAACAAAATATATACTTCAAATTTTTAAAAAGTACATTTATTTTCACCAAAAACCTTTTACATACAGAATAATAATAATAATAATAGTAGAAAAATACATATTTTTTTATTTTATTTTAATTCTTTATTTTCATTCTTTATTTTTATTTTATTTTATTTTATTCTTTTATTTTTATTTTTAAATTTTATTTAAAAAATATTTAATCTAATAACTATGTTTGAAGTCAACAAACATTTTTCTTAATATAAAAAAAAGTTGAATATTTAAAAAATGCTGAATCTTGTCAAAATATTTTAAAGAAAACTTTTAAGAATTTCAGCAAATTAAATTAAATAATGTTTGAAACAAACAAACAAACTTTGTCTTCTTTTATAATCAACACTTGATATATTCAACGTGTTTTTATAAAGAAGACTTGAAAAAATGCTGAATTTTATTTTACAAAATATTTTTAAAATGCTTTGAAGAATTTCAGCAAATCTAATAACTATGTTTAAAGTAAACAAACATTTTTCTTCTTTGAAGAACACATTAAACTTTTAAACGGTAAAAAGTACACAATCTTTTTAACATTTTTCATGTTTGAAATAGACAAACATTTTCTTCTTTTATAATTGGCACTTTGAATGTTGAACGTGCTGTTAACAGAAGTAATTTTTTTTTTTTAAATAAATGCTGAATTTTTTCAAGTCTTCTTTATAAAAACACGTTGAATATCAGCAAATCAAAAACTATGTTTGAAACAAACATTTTTTTTTTTTTTTTTTTTTTTTAAAAAGAACCAATACTTTAAAATTTTTTCTTTAGAACCCTTAAATGAAATAAGATCAAGATCCATGTGTAAAACATTTTAGGTATAAAAAAGAAAGATCAAATTATTTTGAAAAAGCAAACTGAGAAGAAACTTATTTTCCTTTTTTTTCAGGATTTTGTTTATCAGAAAAAGATTTTCTTCTCTTCGCACTTGTTGGGATTTTTGATTGATGAGCAATTCTTCTTTTCTTTACACATGGATCTTGATCTTGATCAATAATAATGGTTTTTGATTGTGGTGGCGGCTTTGAAATTGAAGCAATCGCTGCAGCTAGTTGATTTGCTTCATTCGAAGCCTTAGATGTAGAAGGTGTTGGTGAAGCCGATCGTATTGAAGTAGGTTGTTTTGGTGAAGCAGGTGGTTTTGATGTAGAAGGTTTTGGCGAAGCAGGTTGTTTTGACGTAGATGGTGAAGCCGATCGTCTTGAGATCAACGAGCTCGATGAAGAAGTTGAAGCAGAATCTGAAGAATCTTCTTCAGAACAAGATTTTACTGTTGATGCGTGTACTTCGACACTTTCAATTTTCCTTTCGATTGGTGTAGGAATATATTGTAAATTTTCCATTATAGCAGATGGCTCAATGGAACTCCACCTCGTTGACAACCTGGATGCATTTTTCTATTAAATTAAATTAAATTTTTTATTATTAAAAATTAACGTTTTCCTATTAAATTTTTATTATTTTTCATTTACTTTATTTTTTATTATCTTAATTTTAATTTAATTTTAATTTTATTAATTAATTAATTATATAAATAAATTTTTTATTATTAAAAATTAACCTTTTCCTATTAAATTTTTATTATTTTTCATTTATTTTATTTTTTATTATCTTAATTTTAATTTAATTAATTAATTAATTATATAAATAAATTTTCTTTTTCAATACTCACGTCTTGCTGTTGATATTTGTGTCCAGAGTATATCACTGGTTGTTGCTGTGGATGTTGTTGTTGCTGTGGATGTTGTTGTTGCTGTGGATTTTGTTGTTGCTGTGGATATTGTTGTTGCTGTGGATATTGTTGTTGCTGTGGATGTTGTTGTTGATGTGGATGTGGTTGTTGAGGACCTGACATATTCCATGGTTGGTTCCTGGAATTATTCCATGGTCTCTGATGTTGATTACCAGGATGTATTTGTCTTTGATTTTCAGTAGGATAAACTGTTGGCCGTTGATGCGGAATGTGTTGATCATGAGGCAACTGGTGAAATTAAGAATAATATTTAGAATAAAATTTAGAATAAATTGAAAATAAAATTAAAAATTAAATTTAGAATACAATTAAAAATAAAATTTAGAATAAAATTTAGAATAAATTAAGAATAAAATTTAAAATAAAAATTTAGAATAAAAATTTAGAATAAATTGAAAATAAAATTAAGAATTAAATTTAGAATACAATTAAAAATAAAATTTAGAATAAAATTTAGAATAAATTGAAAATAAAATTAAGAATAAATTTAGAATATTTTGATATTATATTTTTTTTTTTAAATATTTGATAGGTACACAAGATTCCTTGAATTACCGCTAAACTGTTGAAGGGTATACAAAGTTGTCTTTTTTCAGATGGAAAAAAAATCTATATACCTATTCAGAGGTTAAATTTACTATCAGATATTTTTCAAAATATAGAATTATATTATAAAACCATTATAAATTTAGTAATAAATATTTTATCACATGAGGGAAATTATCTTTATATTTTAATCAAATAATTTAAAAGACTTTGTTAAAACAACATAAAAATTAATTTACAGATACATGCAAATTAGGTTAATTTTCAATGAAAATTTAATTTTCAATGAAAATTGTTTCAAAATCTACTACTATTATTATTATTATTATTATTATTATTTTTTTTTTTTTTGCTTAGGGAATTTTGGGAAATCTGCCTACAGATACCTTGGATTCCGCACTCCAAGGTTATGTGGGGTTGGTGTGATAAAACAAAAGGAAATATAAAAAAGAAAAATAAATATATAAAATAGTAAATTTAATAAACTGGCGACCTACTGCCAGCCCGACCCACTAAAACCCGTAACCCTTCTTTTGGAGCCCTTTACCCTCCCTCGGAACTGTCGTAAGACTTTAGCCTTCGAGGGTGGCGCTCCAACTCTGTCGCTAATGCGACTTTCTGCTTTTCTCTGCGGTTATCCTGCGTTAATAGTTAAAAATTTTAAACTATTTTAATATAAAGCGGAATTAACAGCACAACAATAATTAAAAATAACAAATGTGTAATTAAGTGTAAAAAGTCAGAAGATAAAATTATAAACGGATATATAAAAAAAAGAAAAAATAAACGCGCATAAAATATTGAAAACATAAAACTGTACAAAGATGAATAAAAAAAAACACAAACAATTAAAAAATGTATAAGGACAAATAAATCACAAAATAAATTAATAAAAAACAAACGAACAAAATTAAAAGCTGTTTAAATTACGCTTTTTGGCGGCCGTCGAGATCCTTCCTCGACATAACCGAGATTATGAAGTTCTCGACTTGCCGCCAATTCTCTTCCGACTGGGTCATCAGCGATACCATGTTCTCCGGTGTAACTTGACTGTTTACACCTTCGAACATGGCCCGCCTCTCCAAGTCCCATTTCTTGCATGAGAAGAGGGTGTGCTCCGCGTTGTCCTCAGGGAACTGGCAATATGCACACACCTCGTTCTCGCGTAATTTAAAGCGACACAGGTACGAGCTAAAACACCCGTGACCTGTGAACGCCTGAGTCAAGTAATAGGAAACCTGACCGTGTTTCCTATTTATCCAGGTGGCGAGTGCCGGGATAAGGCGATAAGTCCATCGACCTTTTTCCTCACCATCCCATCTTTCCTGCCATCTTTCTATGAGCCTGTGCCTCGCTTCTTTGCGAATCAGGCCCTTGCTTGGTCTTAGCTCCTCATTCAAGGAACTTCTTTCTTTAGAAAAGAGAAACAGTTCTTCCCTTTCTCTCGCCAAAAGATCTGCTGGCGGGACACTTGCAAGGACCTGCACAGCACTCGTAGATACCGTCTTATATGCAGAGATGATACGCGTTGTTATCGATCTCTGCGCCGACAGTATCTTTTCACAGATGGTAACACATCTTTTGCTCCTCAGGGATGGGGCCCATGCTGGTGCTGCGTAGAGCATTTTAGCATGGGCGACACTCGCCACCAGTCTTCTTTTTTGTTTACGGGGTCCGCCAACATTTGGCATTAACCGTGAAAGATTAGCCGCACACTCGATCGCCTTATTTGACGCCGTAGCCATGTGGTGGTGGAAGTTTAACCTTCCATCCAACTCCACACCAAGGTATTTAATTTGTTTACTCCACTTGACCTCGAATCCGTCTATCACGATTCGTGGGAGCTCATAACCACGTCTGTCTGTGACCAGCAGTGCCTCGGTCTTTTCCAGGGCCATTTCAAGACCTCTGGTATCCAGCCAGCTTTTTGCTAGTCGCAGACATTCGTTCACCAATGTCCCAAGAGCCTCCTCACTCTCGGCAGTGCACACGAACAACGCGTCGTCCGCAAAGCCGATGATCATCGCACCTTCGGGCAGATCCATTCGCAGAAAATCATCGTAAGATACATTCCATATAAATGAACCCACCCTCGAGCCTTGAGGAGCCCCACGCTGCATCTCTTCCCTGAGAGTGCAGGTGTCTCTCTCATATATAACCCACCTGTCGCTAAGATAATTATCCATTATCCGCAACAAGTTTGGCTTTGTCCACAACTGCCTGGATGGCATCAACTGTGGACTTGCCTTTACGGAAACCAAATTGGTGATCTGATAGACGATTCTCTTCGGTCAAGTGGCTTTGCATTCTCTGCAGAACCATAATTTTTTTACTTACAAATTGAGAAAGTAATTTTAAAAGAGTGCACAGACAACAGCTACCACACAAGTTTCGGTTTTGAAAGGAATTCTGGAAGATAAAGCAATTTTGTTAAAATCTTTGAAATTTTTAAAAGTATAATTCAATTTTATTGTTACCATCTTGTAACTTGTATAATAATAATTATTATTTTATTAATTCTGCAAATATTATACAAGATACTTACCATTTTTACTCTGCTGTATATCACCGTCTACCGGCAAAACCAAACCGCATGTGACTCACTGTTCGCAATCAGAACACTGCTGCCAACTTCACATAACCCACATAGAAACGTTCTCTTCTATTCTCTCCTATTTCTAAAGCAGCGCTGTGATCCAATCGGACAAAATTCCACAAACAAATGAAAGTCAATCTATATTACTTAAAAGCTTTAAACCTCATAAATTAACAAAATAATGTACTGTACATTAAAAACCATCAATGCTTTTAAAAAAATAGAGAGAAAAAAATAAATTCTTGTGTGAGCTGTTCTCTCGACAGTCTTTGAACTTAATTTCTATTTTTGTAAGTTATAAACATTTGAATTTCTCACAAAAGCAATTTTTAATTCGCTAATAGCACCATCTACCGAAGGCAGCCCAAATTAAAAATGTTGGTAAATTGGGTGGGAAAATTTAAACCACTTCTAAGCAATTTGATATTAACAAATTAAATTTAAATTTCCCACCAAGAGAATATAAATTTTAAAAATGGCGCCATCTAGCGGTAGCAGCCGGTACTAAAAATGTCGGTAAATTGAGTGGGAAAATTTAAAACACCACCAAGCCACTTGAAAGTTCAAAAATAAAAATTCAAATACCCCGCCAAGGGGGTTTGAATTTACCGGTGGCGCCATCTCTCGGTGGCAGCCAGATGTCGGTAAAACAGAGCACCCCCTCTAACACATTTGAAAGTTCAAAAATAAAAATTTTAATACCCCACCAAGGGGGTTTAAAGTGAGAAAAAATAAAATGGCGCCATCTAGCGGTGGCAGCCGGTACTAAAAACTCGGTCGGTAAAGTAGAACACCCCTTCTAACACACTTGAAAGTGAGCTATTAAGAAATCTACCTTACCGACCGTCGGTAAGTGTTCCAGGATCCCCATAGCTCTACTACTGATATCAAAAAATCGAAAAAATTATAATTGTTATTAATTACTATCAAGTTTAATTCAGTAGTATTTTTAAGTTCTCTGATTAAGATTTTGACGTCAAAATAATGCAATTCATAATTATTTATCCAATTCATTTAGTATTCTTTAATTGAAAGAAGTTCAGAGACTTTAAAAATGGAGATGTTTTATAATAAATACTTTATAATAATTTTCCATAATTTTAGATTTTTTGCCAAAGAATGGAGACTATTAAATAAGTAAAATATTTTTGAAAAGCACAAAAGTAATAAAGCTAAATGCCATAAAAAAGAAGGAAAAATATTGAATTTTAAGAAATTCGGTTTTTTGAATTTTTGCTAATTTTCTATAATTTATATTTTTTACCAAAGGTTGGAGACTACTAAATACGTAAAATATTTTTGAAGAGCACAAAAATAATAAAGCTAGATGCCATAACAAAGAAGAAAAAATGTTGAATTTTAAGAAATTCAGTTTTTTAAATTTTTGCTAATTTTCCATAATTTTAGATTTTTTACCAAAGGTTGAAGACTATTAAATAAGTAAAGTATTTTTGAAGAGCACAAAAATAATGAAGCTAAATGCAATAAGAAAGAAGGGAAAATGTTAAATTTTAAGAAATTCAGTTTTTTGAATTTTTGTTAATTTTCCATAATTTTAGATTTTTTGCCAAAGGGTGGAGACTTTAAAATCAGTAAATTATTTTTGAAGATCACAAAAGTAATGAAGCTAAATGCCATAAAAAAGAAGAAAAAATATTGAATTTTAAGAAATTCAGTTTTTTGAATTTTTGCTAATTTATCATAATTTTAGATTTTTTACGAAAGGGTGGAGATAACAAATTAAGTAAAATATTTTTAAAGAGCACAAAAATAATAAAGCTAAATGCCATTAAAAAGAAGGAAAAATGTTGAATTTTAAGAAATTCGGTTTTTTGAATTTTTGTTAAGTTTTCCATAATTTTAGATTTTTTACCAAAGGGTGGAGAATTTTTAATAAGTAAATTATTATTAAAGAGCACAAAAATAATGAAGCTTAATGATATAAAAGAGAAGAAAAAAATGTTAAATTTTAAGAAATTGGGTTTTTTGAATTTTTGATAATTTTCCATAATTTTAGATTTTTTGCCAATGGTCGGAGACTTTAAAATCAGTAAATTATTTTTGAAGATCACAAAAATAATGAAGCTAAATGCCATAAAAGAGAAGAAAAAATGTTGAATTTTAAGAAATTCGGTTTTTTGAATTTTTGCTAATTTTTCCATAATTTTAGATTTTTTACCAAAGGGTGGAGAATTTTTAATAAGTAAATTATTATTGAAGAGCACAACAATAATGAAGCTTAATGATAAAAAAGAGAAGAAAAAAATGTTAAATTTTAAGAAATTGAGTTTTTTGAATTTTTGATAATTTTTTATTTTTTGCTTAAAGGTGGAGACTATTCAAATAGTAATATGATACTACCGAAATAGCTATTGATAACTAAATATTAATTTTCCGGTCAAATTAAATTTTGGCTCTTTTTCTGATTTTCCAGATTGGTAGAAACATTGTTAAATGTATTGGTAGAAACTAAAGCCCGTCGAAGACGGGTACGACAGCTAATATTTATATGTTACGTACCAAGCCCGAAATTGTACAAAGCCCGATCTGTACAACGATTTTTGTACTGATCGCGGTTGGTACAAGCTATTTTGTACAGAGCTGTAATTTCCGGGCTCTGTACAGAGATACGTGTACTGAGCAAGTTCGGTACAGAGATGTTTGTACAAAGCCTGCTCAGTACGATTTCTCATGTACAATGTTGTCCATAGCAGTCGATTAAGGATTGTCACGGCGGTGGTGTGGGCCAAGGGGATTGTTCCCATTGCTCCCATGTAAAATCTTGCATGTTTGCAACCTCAAAAAAAAAATTGCAGTTTCATAATTTTAATCAAAAAACCTATATATTTATTTTATTGAAAGAAAAAAAAACATTAAAAAAAGATGTAAAAATTAATGATAAAATTTTTTCAAGATTTCAATATTATAAAAAGTATTTAATTAATTTTTTTAAGAAAAAACTACGTGGTAAAAAATTCTGAAAAAATTCATATGTTTCTAAAATAATATACAGAACAAACTGTCAAATTTTTATAAGTTTCTCTCATTTCCTTATATTGCCGGTGACAATCCTTAAAGAAATGAATGTTTTAGTATGAGCAGATTTTAGTATATTAAAAATTTTATTATTATGAACGAAATATTTCACACTTTCGCTGGCATTATTATGTAAAGGAACTATCAATTTTTTTTCATTTTCAATTATTAATACGTCATATATTCTGAAACGCCGATAATCACTTGAACTTTTTTAATTTCATTTTTTGAATCGATCACTTTTTGTATTATATCATTATACAATTAATTTTAAAAATAATTTTTCATGTCAAAAGTATTCATGATTATATTTACGTGTACCTTCGAATAAATTTGCTATAATACTGAAATCGTTTCCAATTTATAATTGAAATTGTTAATCATTAATCTTTTGATTTGATTGTTGGTAAAGTGTCAACAATAAACAAATCAACTGTTATGGACAACATTGTATAGGAGAAATCGTACTGAGCTAGTTTTGTACAAACATCTCTGCACCGAGCTAGCTCAGTACAAATATCTCTGTACAGAGCCCGGAAATTACAGCTCTGTACAAAACAGTTTGTACCAACCGCGATCAGTACAAAAATCGTTGTACAGATCGGGCTTTGTACAATTTCGGGCTTGGTACGTAACATATATATATATATTATATTATATTTCATTTTTTGCTTATGTCATTAAAAAAATTAAATTTCATATTTGTTTACAATTCAAAATATAACGTAAAACATTGAATCAATTTTACTTGGTAAACTTTTACTTCACTAATTGATTGGATAATTACAAACATTTTTTTTGTGGAGCTTTTTGCATGCATCGAAGATATTTATGTTAATATTTTAAAAGTTTTTGGGTAATCTCAACTTGTTAATAAACGCATGAAGTAATATTAAAAGGGAAATTGTTTAGAAATTTGTTTTCTTTTCATAATTTTTAGAGAAAAATTTGAAATATTTTTAAAAAATAAGAAATATATTGCAACAACATTAAATAAATATATATATATATATATATATATATTTAGATTTTAAACAATTTAATCATTTTTCTAGAATATTTTACATATCCGTTTAGAATTTTATGCTCTACGTTTGTCTGAATGTCAAAAAGAGTTATACGATTTTATTTATAAACATTCGATAATTTGAAATATATTCGCGGTTCTTATTTACCGGCGATTCTCTACCGCAAATTTTGATAATTAAATTTATATTTTTTAAATAAACTTATGAAAATTTTTATACTTTCTGCAGGTTCCGTGAGCGATATTTCAGCTTGGCAAAACACTGATTTATATATAGCCCTAGAGAACAACGAATTTAGTATACTAAGGTATAATTCTGCTTTCAGTGGAGTTATACCGAGTTTTGGGAAAACTACTCACCTGCCAATTTCTTCGAGAACCTCTGTATTGTGTGATAAAATAAAAAGGACAAATTATCTTTAACCTAAGCGTTTGTTTTCTTAGCCTGTTCCCTTAGTTCAAAGCTTTCTGCTTTGTAAATAAATCAGGCAAAAACTTTACATACCAGTACTGGTCTTCTTCTGAGACGTAACAATTCATTGTTCAGAATTATAAAATAAGTATATATCAAAATCGGCAATGACAATTAATAAAAATTACATATTGGATTCGACATTTTGAGTTTTGAAATTTTTGAAAATCTGTCATTGGTTTCGTAGTCAGCGACCCCGAAAACCCCCGAGTAACAAATTTCAGGTAAATTGGATCAATTTAAAAAAAACCGTCCTCCATATTGGATCCGCTATTTTGAATATTGAAAAACCGACATCAGATTCGTAATCAGCGACCCTGAAAACTCCCGTGTAACAAATTTCAGGTAAATTGGATCAATTTTTAAGAAAGCCGTCTGCCATATTAGATCCGCCATTATGAATTTTGAAAAACCGCCATCAGATTCGTAATCAGCGACCCTGAAAACTCCTAAGTAACAAGTTTCAAGCGATTTAAGACATTTTCATAATAAAAATTCACTGTATTGTCCATGGCAAAGATTTTGAAAAATTTGCTAAAAGTGTTGTTTTTAACAGTTTGTAACTTTTTTATTATTTATTTAATTTAAATTTATCCTTAATAATAATAATTTCTAATTACAAGATGGCAACCAAAATTTTCAATAATTAAATACTTGCACTTTCCTCATTTTATTGTTGCTAAAGAAAATGCAGTCACCAATGTATTTACATTTCGTCTGTTTCACAACGCAATTTCCTATAATTAAAGGAACCGAACCCATTTTCCAGATCCGTCTCGTAAATAAAAAGATAAACAATTTTATGAATTTAAATAAACTAATTATATATTTATATTGAGTAAAAAATGTCTTACTGAAGGGGAGGTTCTCATTGCGGAGGCGAAAATAACCACAAACTTTGACAATTTTTTGCGAAGAACGGCTATGACTTAGCGATATAGTTTTTTTTCTAAATAGAGATACATTCTTGAACTTTTGAAACATATATTTCATTTTTAAAAAAAAATGCAAAATGGAGGCCAATATGGCGCATATAGAAAATAATATTTTCTCCAACACTTGCTCTGAAAGGAGTACTTTTCTTGGTAGAAAAGTGTGGCGAAAGTAAAATTTGGCGTGGCGAAAGTAAATTCAGCGTGGCGAAAGTAATTTTTAGCGTGGCGAAAGTAAATTTGGCGTGGCGAAAGTAAATCATGAATTTATTCTTTTTTCTTGTTCTTTGACCGAGATTTATTTTGTATCTAACTTCTTCCCCACTCAAAACATTCGTCTTTTATTATATTAAACATAAGAACATTTTAAATTAAAATTATACGAAACTCACGAAGAAACCTTTCCTCGCAAGGCTAAACAAAAACTCAAAATTTTTTGTAAAGATGACATCCTAAAGAATAGGTTATACCTATAAAATACTTAAAAAGTTGACAAAATGACGGATACATTTTTTCAAAAATTGCGTTTTCGCATTATTTTTCCATATTTGACCTCTTGTGAAAATCTCTATTTTTAACAATTTTATCATATTATAGATATAACCTTAGTAGAATTTAGTTACCTTTAATTAGCCGCAAACCCGAAGTTGATTGATTAAATAGTTTAGACGCTACGATGCCCACCAGTTTAAAAATTTTGTTTCGAGAAAAACACGTTTAAAGTTTGAGAAACATTTTTGTGCAATAATTGTATTCGATTTGCCTGGCATTTATTACTCAGTGCTTGGGACGCCGGTAAGTTCAAGACCCCATAAAAACGAAAATATTCTTCGGATCAAAAAATCGCTATACATACATATTCTACATACATATAGCTTTCAAAAGAGAGAGAGTGATTAAAAAAATTATTATCTTTAGAGAATATTAAATAAATAATCTTATTATTTATTATTACTGGAAATTTACAAAAATTACTCTGTTTTTTATACTTAATGAGAATATTTTAATAATAATAGAATTTTAACTAACTTTGAAATTGTTGTTCACATTTATTTTTCATTATTTTCATGATTCAGAATTTAACATATATTAATAAAAACATATATAATTAAAAAATTAACTAACAATTATAAACTAACAAGAATTGCCTTAAAGCTTTTTTCACAATTTTCCTAAAATTACAATTCAACCATGTTTTGGTTTTCAGCATGAAAAAAAATCCGTAAAAGAAAGTTTCCGTGAATTAACACATTACACTTCTCAATGTTTTTTAACCATTCATCACTTCTATAAAAATAACCAATAATAGAAATAGTAATAATAAAACTCTTTTTTACCCTAGAAAAGCTAGATGCCATTTTCACGCAGATGAAAAAAATGTGTTTTTTTGTTTATTTCTAATAAAGTATGCGTATCATAGAATAATTTAACGATAGCCATAATAATTCTAAATAATTTTTAATTAATATTTTATAGGTAGTAAGAGTTTTTTAAATTTATTCTTAACAACTTAAGCAAGTATAAACAATGAACGTACAAGATATTTCAAGATTACAGTTCTTCTATTAGTGAATTCTTTCAAGGTAAGAGCCTGAAGTGAGCATTATGGTGTATTTTGAATCCTAACGAGGATCGTAGTTACTCATAGAAGATTAATGAAATTCAAAAACTTGCACAGGTAATCATAATTAACCAACAAGCTTGGCTCCCATCCCATTTAGTTGCTTACTTCCGATGCAACTCTCGCAATCAAAACTACGTTATCTGTATAATTACAGGATTCTTCGCAATCAGACCATCGCTATGTTTATAATTATAGTATTTATTTATCATACAATGCTCTTACAGAAAATCAGTTCAAGTGTTAATATCACCATTCAATTTCCAACTTGAAAAAATTCATCCACATTAATTTAACTTCGTCTGCATCAGTAAATAATAAACTTTTTACCCATCAAATGTGCTCCCAAATAGCATAACACATATCTTCAATATTGCATAAATAATACATGGTAATATTGCTAATATCGCTTGGCAATGATCCTGTAATATTAATTATGTCCACCTTGACGCAATATTTTCTGAAATTTTCTGTTTATAATCTAAGGTTAACCAGAACGTGTTCCCGACAGTTAAAATTTAGAAATATCTCTCAAGTGCTTTATTTATTTATTCATAAACGGGACAAGCCTTTTTGTACTCTCTAAATCTGAATCAGCGATAAATATGACACTGATTACAAATAGCATCAGGGACTGTCACGGAATTAAAACAAAAATAAAAAATACTTTTGTTTTT